TACAACTACAACTACTACTACTACTGCCGTCTTCCCCGAATAGAACGTCCGCAGTACCTAGACACGGCCAGGTACCCCAAACGCAGACATAATGACCGTACTCCCTTCTATTCGGGGGAAGACGCAGCCTCCTGAGAAACCAAAACAAGGGTCAAGCCAAGCTCTGCACACAGAACAAAGCAATCACGGTCCTTCGTAACATCCATTAAAATTCGAACGACACACAGAAGATTAGCATGGCCCCTGCACAAGGATGACAGGCCTAAGCCGAGAAATGGTCCATATTATTATTTTTATATATATCATATATCAATCAATCAATCAATCAATCAATCAATCAATCTCTTACCGCGCGTTCGTTCAGTTAAGTTAATCCGAACGGACAAGCTGAAGGAGGAGGACCAGACCAGCTGGAGGAGGACGGGCGGTACCAGCTGCAGAAAGGAGGTTAAACCTCCGGCTCCTGCTAGTCATCAGCTCCTGCTAATCATCAGCTCCTGCTAATCATCATCGTTAGCTGCTGCTAACCTCCCTAGTTGCCGTAAACCGTAGCGGTCGGTAGTGGTGCTGGGGATCCAACCACGCACGATCAGGCACAGAGTCAGCCAGCGCCCAAGACTGAACCAGAGCAGAGCTGAGTTAACCACCCAGCCGTCTCAAACCATGAATTAATTAACCCGAGCCAGAGCTATGAAACAGACTTAACCAGCCAGCGAGCGCGAAGAAGCACAGAGTTCCTGAGCCCGTCAGTCGGACAGACTTACCGACAACACAACACACAGTAACCAGAGTTACGACCCAGAGTTCATTCATGAGCCAGACTTAACCTTTTTAGCCGGCTCGTACCAAGAATTAACCACCCAGCGCACACACACAGGCCGCATTCAGTCAGAGACGGACAGACTTGACGGCAACACACAAATTAACCAGAAGAGTTCATGAGCCAGCCAGCCATCCAGCCAGCCAGCCGGCTCGAACCAAGAATTAACCGCCCAGCCCACACAAAAAAAGTCCGCTTTCCGACAGACGGACAGACGGACAGACGGGAAGACGGACAGACGGACAGACTTAGCGCCAACACACAGTTAGCTTAACCAGAGTTTGGGTTGATTAACCACACCACGTCCAAGGACAGTTAACGACACGAACGGAAAGCAGTTATGAGAGCGCCGACATTGTGCTCGAGAATTCCCGTTTCTTTTTCATTATCATTTTTTCATTGATTTATTTTGATTTGGCTTGTTTTTAGTCATTCTCCTCATTTACTCTATATTGTTTCCTTTGCCCTACTTCCGTTTTAACTTCTTTTTTTTTGGTTTTTTTTTACTTTTTTCAGCATCTAGTAGAATCCGAGAGCTCTTCGAGAATTCTTTGTGCCTAGCCCTCTCTCTCTCTCTCTCTCTCTCTCTCTCTCTCTCTCTCTCTCTCTCTCTCTCTCTCTCTCTCTCTCTCTCT